ATACAATTCGTAAGTGTGCTACAACAACAACAACAACAACTACTACTACTACTACAGTTTCTTGGAAGGGAAGTTTTGAGCACTATGCGAAAGGTAGATAACTACATAAGGCAAAACTGCTCTGGTCAACAATTATACTAATCAACACATAGTTTCCTCGTGTAGACTAAAGGAAGGATGCAAACGTACCTAGCCAAACCACTGATTAGGATTATAGGTGATAAAAAAGTTTTTCTGTGTATGCATTGTCCGTATTCACTCATTTCTATCAGTTCACCGACATCAAATGTTCGCTAAAGAGCGTATAAGCCAGAAAAAGAGTTCACCTCTAAAACGCTGAACAGATCTAATCGTAACGAAATTGTTTTCATTTTCTGTCTCGCCTAGGTGCTCATCTCGCCTGTGTTAACTCAAATCTTGGCCCCGTAAGCAGTCTGGATGTTGTTTACGATTCAGAGCAGGGCTTTGTACATGTCATTGGCACAGCCATTGTGTCAAGAGGTGAAGATGGCGAAGGTGGTCTGGAGGAGGAGGTAGAGTTCTTCCAGTTCGGCCTCAGGCTTTCTACCATTGGTTCTGTTCGTCGTACAGCTCAATCGACTGTCTGCATAATGTGAGTTTTCATGCTTTTTTAACCTGTCGCATTCGCGGCTGTTATGCGGGCAGTATAAGGCACAAGTTATATTTTCCTGAAAAACCAGTCACGAATGATTCCGGAGCGCATTTTTAGGTTATCATTATCTGCCTACTGAAAAGAATTGAGTAGGGGTTATTGTGATTAATTGAATTCTCTTGGGGGAGTTAAAGGCAAAGACTTGGGGGTTTAAATGGGAAAGTTAGATTAAGATAACTTTGTGAATAGGGGTATGGGGCTAAGTTTAGGGTTGTTGGGCTAGAACCTAAGGTTTAGAATAGGTACCAGGGATTGGAAATTTAGGTTAAGGGCTGCGGTTGAGAAATATGTATTTGGCTTAGTCGTTAAAGTTAATTGTTAAGGTTAGACATTTTAGTTATTAGTTAGCGTTAGTTGTCAGGGATAGTTGTTAGAGTTAGGTGTTAGGCTTAGTGTTTGTGATAAGCGGTTATGTGAAGTTTATAATTTGTAGTTGGGATGCAGTTTCATCAATAAACCCTCCTTAGAAGGAGCAGTTTCTCCGTCCCCTAGAAACTAGCCAAAGTCAAACCTAGATATACGCGCGCAATTGATTTTGTTCCAGTCTGCTCGGCTTGTTTAAAAAAACTTGCCACCGCCCTTTCTATGTTCTTTTCTTCTGCGGTGGTTCTTCATTAAGGGGACCATTTTAAAATTAAAAGCCCTTGTCGTAGCTTATAAAGGAGATAAGACTTCTCTGGCTCGTAAAGCATGACATGGGAACTGCAGACAATGGGGGTGGCTTTGCGAAAAATTCTGGGGACATTTTGGCTAGGATTTAACTGTATGTCAGGGTTAAGTAGGAGTACAGTGGGAGTACAATATGATATGTGGTTAGACTATGTGCAACCTTTGTGGTACCACAACCACGCTCATAAAAAGAAAAAAAGAAAGCATGCTTACTAATGCAAAATAAGTAGATAGTTAGGTGCCGAGGTACTAGACTGAACTGCTTTTGACCATCTTGTCACGTCTTAGGGTTTGAAGTGTATTGTTTAATGTGACAAATTCACGCCTGCTTTGCAACTGTTGCACGCTTGCTAACCCGCATTCAGGTTGTTTAACATTTATTAAATATTATCCCTTTCGATCCATTCAGATTGCGTTATCGATATTCATGTATAGAAGTCGTGAAATCCACCTCGTTCGTTCATGAGGGCATTGTCAATGCAATGCAGGTGACTTTACGAAACCTTCTAGGGACATCAGGGCCAGGATCAAGCTTAGTGTCTGGGGCTAAGGTTAGGTTTAATGTACACGGTAGAGATAGGATTTAGGATGAGGGTGCTGTGGAGATTATGATCATTGTTTTGGTCTCGGTAAAGAACTATCGTGGGGTCCCCACAGTGTGCGCGAAATGCGCTCCACTCCAATAAGGGTACCTGGTTTTAGGGGACAGAATGGGTGGAGCATATTGGGGGATACATCAAGGCGCAATAATCATGTAATTTAAGGAAGTCGCGCGTGTAAGTTTGGGGGTGGTCGCTGACCTTAGGCGAGGTCACTGAGGTACATTTTAGTATCATCAATAACCCCTGCTAAACCAACGGCAAGCGCATGTATTTTGGGGGTGTCCGCCGATCTTGGGCGAGGTCACTGAAGTACATTTTTTTAATATCAGCACCAACCTCAACGAGATCAACGCCGCCGGACGAAAAAATTGGAAGCTTGTTGAAATTTACCCTTCCTAAAAGTTGTAAGCAAGTGGTTATTGTACATGTTGGTCTTTCAAACACTCCTCTGTAGTTCCCTGCCTTGGTCTCTTACACAACCAGTGTCTTAATGTGACAAATACACGCCTGTTTTGCAGCTGATGCACGCTTGCTAACCCGCATTCAGGTTGTTCAACATTTTCTTTTTTAATATTATCCCTTTCGACTCATTCGGATTGCCTTATCGATATTCCTACAAAGGAGTTGTGATATCCACATCGTTCGTTCGTGAGGGCATTGCCAGTTTCCTCTGTTGTGCAAACTAAACAAATTAAGTAATGCAGGTTGCTTTACGCAAACTTCTAGGAACATCAGTGCCAGGATTAAGCTTAGTTTCGGGGTTAAGGTTAGGTTTAGTGTACACGGTAGAGATAGGGTTTAGGGTGAGGGGGCTTTGAAGATTATGATTACTGTTTTGGTCTCTTACACGATCAGTGGTAAAAGTAGGAATTATGTGCAAGACCAGCTTTACTATTTGGGCGCGGCACTCCTACTGCCTTGTCCTGTATAGGGCGGCCATAGAAGTTATCCTTACCGCTTATAGTCTCATCCTTTTGCACTGCGATATTTGGAGGTGGACTTACGCCCTCTCCCCTTCCCTACCACCGAAGAGGCTGTAATTTTTACCAAGAGGCAAAGGGCACCCGAACTCACAATGAAGCGCGTTTTTTTCTTCTAGGCATGTAAAGCCTCCCTGGCCCGTTGTCTTCCCTGAAGAGGCTGCGGTGAGCGTTCAGCCAAATTTTAATTCTGTTTCTCCTTTGCAGACAAAAGAATACGTCATTTGTGCCCATTACCTCCCACCGGTTGACGTCTGGAGCCGGTAGTAGTCTGGTAAGGAAAGATAGTTAAATAAACTTATTTTCAAATGGATCAACGCGGTATGTGCTTTTTGATTTTCTCACATTTAGTAGCTCGTGTTATTGGCGTCGCCTATGAGCTGGTATACTAGAATCAGATAATTAGACTACCCGTTATGAGTGAGTAGTAATTTATGTACACTATTTCCCACTACCGTGCGGCTGCGAACTTTTCGTTTGCAATGTTGTGAACGACTATTCTTTGAATTTTTCTACTGTATCAATGCATTTTTCACTCACTATGCTACCAATAGGGAGCTCAAGGGCGTTTGCCTATCTTTACCTTAATAAAACTAAAATGAACTGTACCTTAAGTCTAGTGCAAACTTAATGAGAACGAAAAATTAATGAAAAGAAGTTTTGTAGGATTGCACGCTGAAGAGTGTGTTCGTTTCTAGTTTTGTCCTACTGCTATGTATTCATAATCCCATTTCTACCACACTTTGCACATTCTGCCCGTAAAACTTTAACTCAAATTCCCTCTAAATGACTCGGAACGATTTATGTTTTATGTTTTCTCAAGGTTTTGGCTCTATTTGGAAAGGATGGACAAATGTCAATTATTCAGCTGGGTCCATCCTCCAATGACACTACCTCCAGCTCGACCTCTTGCGTGTTTCGTGAGCTAGCGCGTAGTCAGTTTGGACCCGCCAACGCTGGCTCCGAGTTTGTATGGCCCCCAAAGGAATGCATCCTCGTGCCGAATGTTCGTAGGAGTGATTCGTTGGCAGAGGACAATGAACAGACTACGCATCGTCTCTGGATTCATGGTAAATTTCTCGGGACTGATTTTCGGTATAAATCACTTGGTGTAATGGTGTCACATTAGGTCTGTTAGGGGGAGTTATTCACCCCAGCTGGACAACTGGGCTTTTTAATGTTCAGACGACAGGCGGGCGACACGGCAGTTCGACTGTCGATTCCGACGGTGTCAACTGTGTGCTCCATAGAGTGCTGAGGCAGCGACGGTGAGTTAAGCTTGAATTTGTCTTAAGTGATAATAGACTGGTGTTACATCTACTGTACTTTCCGTTCCCTTACCCGCACAACCCCCGCTGTCAAGACAGGGTCGCGAAGGCTGGATCGGGTGTAAGTGGCCATAAGCATTAGGCCTAAATAAGGGCAGTAAGGCTTTCTTGACAGGCAACCTAATGGAAAAAGCTCCCCCGCCTATTGTCTTACGGAAATCGTGGTTAAAGGTATAATGCTTCATTAAGGCATAGTTAATGCGGGTTAAATGCGGCACAGTAGGAACTAAACGACGGCCGCTTGTAATTGTTTTGCTGAACTAAAATCTAAGTTAGACGCGTGCGAAAAGAATAAAATTAACCAATATAAACTCCTTTTGGTCAGAAAAGTATACCTACAGACCAATAACAATATTACAACAACTGGCATTGATTAAAATAATCGGTAAGGACCTATAGTGGGGTCCCCACAGTGCGCGCGATGCGTGCTCCACTCCAATACGGGCACCTGGTTTGAGGGGAAGAATTGGTGGGACGTATCGGGGAACAAATAAGCGCGCAATAATTCTGTAAATTAAAACAGTTACGTGGGTAAGTTGGAGGATGTACTCTGATCTCGGGCGGGGGACACTGAAGAACATTTTAATA